CTCAAACAATTTGTTAACAAGAAGTGTTATTGGCAGGATAGGCCATGTTGTAAATGTTACACCTGGTGAAGACGTTATAGTTATGACCATTTCAATTATATTGATAAACGTTAGTGATATGATAGGTTACCAGCTATGATGTTCAAAACTAAATGATTTCAAGAACTTAAAATGGTCAATTAGAGTGTATATTGACGATTATAATGTTTTGCATATACTTTGGTGAAATTGTGAAGGTCAAGAAGCGTCCCTTTAGTTTACCCCGTCATCACTTCTCATCGAATCTTAACACCACATAGTACAGAGTACAAGTCGTAATACTAAGAGCAAGCTCGATATTGCTGGACAATTGTATACGTGTCGGAGTAATTCGGATTATTACCATGTTAGCTTGTATTAAACGATATAAATGGAGCCAGTAAGACTATATAATGGTGTATACAGACGAAGAATTTACACGTTATGTTTATAACATGATGGTCCACAGAATCACTGTTGAAATAAACTACTTTATTAAAGGATAACACTACTCTGGACGATCGATGTTATATTTTAGACCAACAATGGTACTGATATACTTAACATGTTCGTTCAACAAGCGTTTATGCTAAACTTTTTTCCAATCCAAACTAGATAACATTAACAATACGCTTAATTGGCTTCGTATAAATTTCTTCGGGGTATCTGTACGTTTCCGCCATTCCGATTTATTTGTTCGACGTCTGTGGTTTCTGGAATTCTAGAATAATTTGATTATGATATGATAATGGTAAAGTATTTGGAATAGTAAAGGTGATAGTAAAGTTATGATATATTTTACTGTATGTGAAAGAACCACACACAAACAGAATGATGCAAATAAAACAGAAAACCTAAAACAGTCCCTTTAAATAAAATTAAATGATAGCGTTTGGTTAAAGGGATTGTAAAGAGGTTTTCTGACCTTTTTATGTGTATCGGGGACACCTTTGACTTCTATTAGGGACATTCCAATTCTTCGTCCGATGACTGTGATTCCTGCAATTCCAGAAAGATTTAAATGGAAATGACACAGGTCCTGCAAGAGAATTCGTAACCAACCTTCGACCAGACCACAATAACATATACTATATGTTATCTCCCCTTACAATATGGTGGCATTTCTAACTAAAATTGCCGACATTCACAATCAGCTTCACCGTTGCCTTAAAAACTCTTTAAGGCGTCTTATATTGCTTAGTTTTAACAGAATGGAAAAGTTGTATGATATTTGTACAAATCGGAGTGCTTAATATCCTAATATATATGATAAAATGTCCGGGTTCGAATACCGTGAGGCGACCATTTAGTAAATCAAGTTAGTCCAGTAATACTGCTACTATATAAACTAGTTATGTACTGATATCACACACTGTATATCCTGGTCTTGTGGACTTTGAACTGACTAGCAGTAGGCACAACAGTGTCATGATCCTATTAACCCTCAAACACCGACATCTCTTTAGGTCCACTTCCGGAGACTCCGATCAACTTCCGGTGTTGTTTGTGATTAATCGTGTTTCTTTATAAAGTTAAGGTAGCGAATCCAATTTTTGAGTACAAATAAGAATAGTGTGCAATAGAAAAAAAAATATGCTAGAACAGTGGCTTTAATGTTTTTCTTTCCAAATTCCAAATGACATATACAAATCAGTCTAAGTAAAAACAACATACACACGTGCATATGTAAAATCGGTAGTGCACCTTGGCAGTTAATAAGGAAACGAAAGATGCTACATTTTTGAATACAGTATGCGATTCTAACAACAGAATCCACAAGGATTGAAATGACGATTTGGGTAGATCTACAGTGCATGGGTGTATTATTTACGTTATCGTTTTGTTTAGCCTTTCGGTTCCACCCTCTAAGCCTAGAGCTACATATTCGTAGAGATATAGTTTCAATATGGCTTCAAACTACTGTGTGTATATTTTAAATATCCATATGACTTTGACCCCACAAGTAGAAGAGTTCACCCTTTTGATGATTGTGTTACGGACAGATGAAAATGTCATCATTCTTTTTCTGTTTGCCTCATTTGACTGCAGGTGTATTGAGATGAAAATACCAAACATCAGCTCTGTGTATCGGTTAGATTATCGTGATATTGCCAGTATAGCTTTCTTCTGTAGTAAATTTCGTTCCTTGATAATATTGTTATTTCATCATTTAGCAATGTAGGACTTTTTAGAACACTTGGTTCCATTCTGCGATTGCTTTCCTGTTCTTTCCTTTTAGTCTTATGAGCATTTCTGTTTTTACTCAAATGATTTACTTTTTCTTTTTTAATTAATGATGCCAAAATTCTTTGTAAATGTAACTGAGCAAGTTGATGTACGATAAGCTATTTTATGCTGGTCAAAATTGAAGTTTTTATTAGAAAATCTTGATTTGTTCAATGAAAGAATTATAATGAAAATGAGTGAAATACAAATTTCCGTTGCTTCAAAACATACATATCATTTATACCAAAGCAAAATAAAGCAGACAAAAGAGGGTCTCCCTGCTTCACACCATTATCGATACTGAATATCAATAAATTGAATTATTCAACCTTGACATATACCTTGAATATTTTGGCTCATTGATTCCGGGGTTTTTGTTAGTCTAATGGCTTCGGTCACAATCTGAAAAATCTAAATTTCAGCTGTCGACCAAACAACGCGACACTAGAAGAGAAAACGTGGTAGCGAATATAAATAATGATTTGAGATGATATGATTATTAATGGGTGTTAGAAGGCAAAAGGGTATGACATGGGGTGTGCTGTAGGTCTTTAATATACTGGAACGTCAGTGACATGAACCAGGTACAAGCTAGAATGATAGTTTCGATTCGAATGTCTCGACAAACTACAAACATAGTTCACCAATTCTACGCCTTATAGTCTACTTCACGGCGAATTATTTACTTTATCAATGACCTGCTCCGTCAACCTGCAACATTTCTTCTTAAAGAATGAGTTTTTCTTCTACTGTAAGAGATAGTGAGACGGAAAGGTCTGTGAGAGGGAGAATGGGCTATTATACACTAAAGGCAGAGATATACTTTCACTGCTCTGTGTAATGCTTTAAGAATTTATCCCATTGTTCTGCTCAAGACATGCCATTTTAATTCAAGAGGAATTCGCTGATATTCAAACATGCAATCTTACTGAGTATTAAGTGTTTGTGTAGATTATGTGCCTGAAAACATGATTTGAATGACCTGTTTGGAGTGCATGAAACCTTATCTCTTCATAGTTCATCTGCCTTTTACTGTATAATACAGAATTGAATAATTCAATGTAAATAACAATTCAACCATTGCATCTGTTCGCACGGCTCCTAAAAAACTCGTATCTCTAATAAGGAGAACAGCAGAGGACAAAACGAAGGCTAATTTATAAAGTAGACGCACAAATACATGTACAATCGTAGGTATTAGAAGAAGGGTCAGCTGTAAATCGGACGATCCGAATCAAGCCATGAGCCGCCTTGTAGACGGAATTTCTCATGAACCTAACTTTATGCCTTGAAAAATAGTTATATTGATATGCATCATCAATCAGGTTTTGGATAAATTGATAATTGATAATGATATCTCCACATTTAAACTATCTCTCATTTTGTATTCTGAATATAAAGGTATAAGTGAGTGCTCGTATATCTTGCCGTAGGTTTATCAACAGTAATTTGTGAAAAGTGTTGTGTTTACACCATTTGGGTGGTTTTTAACTTTAATTATTTAACATTATCATACAATTAAATAGAAGATTTTTCTATCTAATTAGAAGTGTGTTAATTGTCATTTCCTATTATAAACTTCATTAGTCTCACATTCTTGAAATAATGAACTACATCTCTCATTAATTGATTGTATCTGAATTATTATTTATAGAAGCAATTGATATATGGATATACATGCTCTTAACTCTTCGTTTAGTGTACTCAATCAGGCATAGGGATATTCCATTTATATAGTTTCAGTCCAGTATCTCAATTTCAAGTATCAAAAGTGCAACTAAGTGTAACGGAAGTGCTCTCCCTCGTGGAACAGTAGATTCCAGTATACATAATTCATAATATTTTATTGTTTTTCTGGAATTGCTATATTTCTGTCTTATTTTGTTCTGTTAGATGTTCTTGTCCCATGGTAAGAACTGTTAGTTAATAAAATATAGCTTCTAGACCCATTCGCCTAAAGGGGCCAAACATAGACGTATGTTTGCATTACGGGATGTTGCATTATCAATATTATGATAATTGTGGAACACAATACAACACAACAAATTGTCAGTCTGGTCGGCTGAATAAATACTAGAAACCAAGATAAATACCGAATGAAAAATATTTATAATTACAAAATATTCACAATCAAAATATATTACAATAATAATAATAATAAAATATAAATAATAATATAGTCGTCATTAACAGAATCATTGGGTAATGGGTAATATTTACCAAATTGTTCAATGCAGGTAATATCATCATGGAAAATCAGTCTCTTAATGTAACTTCACGTTTTTTCACGGGAAATCTCTTGAAGATACAGTAATTCAAAAACTACCTGATGTGATGTTTGTAAAAAAAATATCAAGAGGAATTGACCAATCAGATCAATTTTCCAAAAAAATTCAAAGTAAACAACGATTCTGGTTAAGCTTCCAGTGAATGTAGGAATTCGAAGAGTCAAAGTGGTAAAATTTTAATATTTTTATCTGTTTTCGCTTTTCACTTGGTCCAGTTCCAGAACACACTGTATTCTCTATATTTCTGTTGAGGCACATTAGATTTATACTGCTTGATACAAATTAATAACAAAGTACAAGTTCAGTACCATATACTCATCAAATTCGACCAGAATCAAGGTATACATCTTCCAGTGTTAGATGAATATTCAAATGTTCCAATTCACGCTCTAATGTTTTAAAGGAGAACGAACTGAAACAGCGTCATTGTCAATTGTAATAGAAAGTATCAATATTCATTATTTCCAACTACCAAGCGCGTATTCCTTGATGTATTTGTTGTTGAACATATCCATTTTGTTGCATCTGATGATTAACATTAGGCGCCATGTGGTTATTATATGATTGCGACGAGTATGCGAAGGGATTTACATTGTAAGGCGCAGAATATGATTGCGGTATATTTTGTCCAGGCATACATGGTTTACCGTCCCGCACTAAAACTGGCACAGCGACACGTCGCGGTGGTTGAAGGGCAGACAACTCTAACGATTTATCCTGACGTTGACGCTTACACTTATATCTCCTATTTTGAAACCAAATTTTAACTTGAGTTGGAGTAAGTTTTAACATACTGGCTAATTGTTCACGTTCTGGTGCTGATAAATATCGTTGTTGTTTGAATCTTCGCTCTAATTCGTAAACTTGAGCCTGTGAAAACAACACTCTTGGTTTGCGTTTTTGTCGTTGTTTGAGTAGCTGACACTCCCCGGAGTCCGAGGACACTGACGTGGTTTTCTCCTTTTCTCCCGGAAGTGGTGTTAATGTGGAAGTGGTCATCTGATGCTGTGTCTGATCAACCAGCGGTTTAACTGAAAATACAAATAAGATGAAATATTAAAAGATGGTGAAAAATATAGGATAAATGAACCGTTTGGGTTAAGAACGCCTCGTCGAAATATTACAACAACAGTGTACTTTATATGTTGTCGTGACAAGTAAAATTATAGCCATCATCATCGTCATTATTAGCATTATCATTATCATAAGAATTATCATTATTATGAGCATTATCATTATTATGAGTGGTACATTATTCTCATTTTCTTTACCCTCATTGATATATTTCTGAAGGCAAAATGTACTGTATCGTCTTTCAATCAGTGAAGTACTGACAGATCGAAATTATAGGGCCAGTGCTCTCCCAATGCAGTAGTTATTTGTGAAATAGTGTAAATGTAATAGATAACAATAACCTATTGTTCTGTCAGTTGATTCCCTGACCTAAATAGTTACTACAGGAAATATAGACCTAACTATTTTACTCTAGAATGATGTGGTAATAGTTAGAAAGGCATATATTTAAATAAATTAAAGATTTGCAATTTTCATTTACATAATTTGATCAATAATATGACATTTTGGAATAAATTACAGACTGGGACACTCATTCACATTTTCACTTAAATAAAAATTTCATTATCGGCTTCCCTGTTCTTCGAATTGAATTTCAACATTTCAGCAGAATTTTTTGAATCAATTTAAAAACATTTTTAACAAAAATCTTTTAATTGGAAATAGAAGAAATCATTATTTATATGGAACAGGCATTTGTAATAATATAAAATGTTGCTGTTCATATATATTTTCATTCAAATGCTATCTAAATTGCCCCACTACAGAGGAATTGTGACGTTCAATCATTTTCAATGAACATGATTAGTTGTTTATAGAATCCCCGACATGATCAAACAGTTGTGATTAGTGTTATGTAGAAATAAAGATAGAAAACCAGGTAAATATCTCAATATGATTGATAGACATTGACTTTATAGGGTGGGGTCATAACAGTCGTTTATTTCAACATTTATATCAGAATTCAAAGGGTATGAATTCGAAAATTGTAGCTCTAAAATTTTATTTTGAGAATTCTAATTTAATTTCAAGCAAATTTGTAAGGGAAACATGGTCGTATTTAGGTTTATTTATGTCAAAATGTAATACTTTCATGAAGATGAGGGCATTTTGGTGATCTTAATCTTCAATGTGGGAGCCGGAACTGTTTCACTTTGAAATAGCGTATATGGATATCGTAAATAAAACAATTTAGATCTGTTTAAATTGATAATACAGTACAAGCATCATTGGGTCAATATTTCTACAAAATGTCGGTTGATTTCTCTGGCGTCCCCAGATAACTTCAAAAGATGCTTGTAGCTAGTGGTTGTAGTCTCATAAAATTCCATAAAATTACGTCAAAATGTGAACATTTAGTTCATGTCATTCCCCAATGCTGCCTACATCGAGGAATCAAAGAGAATTATCCAACCTCAAAACCAATTAAAAAGGTGGTATTAATCAGTTTACCCAGCCTAAAATTATACTTTTATTACTTGTATTTCATCTTAAATGGCTTTCTAACTAAACGGAAATTAAATTAAAATCAAATAGAGAGGGGTCGTCAAAGAAAATTGGCGAAGAATATTAAAAAACAGTTTTAGTGTAATTTTCTCTTTAAGTTTCATGTTTAAAATATAATTAAAATATGTTTTAAATTTACACGAGTCAAGTCAATAAGAATTTACACGTGAGATTTTAATGTACGTAGACAGCTGACTTGTTTAAAGGTACTGTGCTACTAACGTCTTCAATTATAGTCTATGTCATACGTAATTACTTTTAATAGGCAGTGACTGCTTGATTGTTGGCGCTCTAAGTTCTCTTCGTGCTTAGATATCCTTAAATATAAATCTAAATCCTTAAGTCAAAATTCTATAAATAAGCTCCTCTGTAATATGTAAAGACTGGTGTTCCGATCATATATTATTATGATCATTTACAATTTTGTTTTTATTTCTTAAAGATTTTATTTGTAGAATGTGTAAAATCATGAAAAGAAATTACAATATACTACAAGTTAGTGTTATCACTAGAAAAAGCTGAATATGATTACCCTTCTGCTTACTCGGAAGTCTGAACCACTCTTTGAATTGACTTTCCAACTCAGCTTTAACTAAGTTTACATAACTAGTGCTGATATACTGGTATTTTATTGAATACAACAATACATATATCAATTATTGCACCAATATATATAATTAATTAACCGTGCTTGCAAAGCAAATCAAAATTTCCCTCTTTGCAAGAAGGGAATCATTCTTTGTTCAGTCAATGAGTTGATCTTACAAATAATAACACTAGCTATTTGCCTTTGTTGCCTCCTTCCAAGTCTTAAATCGTAGATAAAACGATCTTATGTCAATTTTCTGTATATTAAAATTGTCTTATAAAATGATGATTTGATTGGACACTGATGTTATCCTTCTCATATTGAGTACCTTTAAACTAGAATAAAATGATATTTGTATAAGCAGATATCTTAATGAATATTGATAGTGTATATAAAGAATAAAGGGTACTGTGTGTTTTATCTTGACAGGATCAATTAAGATATCTAATTAATTTTAATTAGTAAAGACACGAAATCAGTAGACAACCTTCCACTACAGGCTATACTGTACTCTCTACAATCCAACAGTTGTCGACTTTCTTAAGAACCACTTTCTTTCAACTGAAAGGTTGTCTTAGTGCAGGGGAAGAAATATAGGGCTTAACGTGCAGTAAATCCTTTCAACTTAAAAAGAATTTTAATTTTCAAGCTTTAAAATTCTTTATATTTATTAGTAAATTTGCCTTGATCAAACGAGACTCTTAATTTCATCATTTCATAATATTCCAAATTATTAAATTAATTTTTCTTCCCCGACGTCCCGAAAATTGTGTTATATATTATCTATTTACTTCGTTTAAACTTGAAATATCACATTATTTAGAAGCATTGATTAATTCGCTACGAGATATAATAGAGAATTTATTTTCAATAGATCAACTCTACACTTTTATAATTATTTGTATTTTCGCCTGAATACTTGACACACTATATTAATGCAATTATTTCATTATACTAATGTGAAACCACATTTCTCTCTCTCTTCGTGAAATGTTTAAAACATTTTTCATCTCATTTACAAATGGTATTTCTCCATGAAAAATGAAATGACATAGAGTTTCATGATCAACTTTTCAAATTAACTTCAGTAAACATAAGGCGTTTCAACCAATGACCTTCAATTTACTTCCTAATTTGAAAGGAAGACGTAAAATTAAAAATTGACCAAGAAATGAAAAGGAAACACGAGAAGAAATGTTTGGTATATGTTGATTTTATGACACTGGTACAGCTTAATCTAGATACAGATGCTGATGTCGAGATAATGAATAAATCGGAAAGTAATATAAGCACCTCTTCCTTCGTTCTGTTTGATTCATAACTAGTATATTTGTCAAGAATATTATGTAAAAGAGAAAATTTCTGTTCAAATGATGGCTTGGACCTACCCTGTTTCTTAAAGGGACAGATGCGCAATTTTGGGGGGTTGATTTGAGTCTTGAATATGTGAAAATAGAGTTTAGAATTACTAAAAAATCGCATAATTCCTTTAAAAATACTTTAAACTAGGTATTTACTCACTATTTCTATACATGTCTTTTCTATATATCACAGAATATCTTAAATTGACGAGTCGTCATAATTCTGGACTCACATGGATTTGAAGTCTCAAATTTCGACGGTAAGCTGTGAACACTATAATTACTGATTGGCTTCCCGTTTCTGAGACTAAAGTATGATCGGTCAAAAAGAATGGCGTTTCTGTACCTTTAAAGTTAATATTAATGTAAAGTTAAACTTGTCTCAAAAGTCATTTTTTTACATAAATAGAAACGCAATTTTAAATTTCATCTGATCATTAGAAGAAAATCGTTTGTTGGGCGAGATCTTTAGTTTTACCAGAATATCAAAATTAACACTTCAATACGGACTGATATCAAATTCTCATTGTAGTTATTCTTTACGCAATATAATTTGTTATCTCCTTAAAATCCATGTAAAGTAAAGTATGTAAGAGTACTATATTTAAGTTTTTTGAAAAAATCAAGTAAACTTCTTATTGAATCCCGGCTCATTTATATTTAATGGCTAATTTTGTAGCTCTGTTTAATCAATAACGCGTCAAATATTTTTTAAATTCCTTATATTACGACTCTAGCTCTGAGCATCGTTAATGATATTTCAACGCTCATTATATGGTATTTTGACCCTCGCACTATGAGTCTTTAATGTATTCTGGACGACGCGTGTTGTCGCTATCCAGCAGGGTAAGCAATGACTTTCACAGCTTTCTATACAAACTTTGTTCAACTTAATAAGAAAAGGTGAAAGTCAATGAATATCCCAGATATTTTGACAATTACTACATAGATCTAGCAAACAAAAAATTGCCCTGATTTTCTTTTTTTTTCTTTCTCTCACCAGGCCGAAATCAAACGAAATAGTTTCTATGAACTTTCAAAATTACATATGAATAAGACCTAACGTATTGTTTATTAAAACCCGTAGAGATAATGCTTAATAATATGTGAGAAATGGTAACATAGATTCTCAAAATGTGCAATTTAAATGATTTTTCTGTTAATGCAGAATTTATGACGTAGTCGAATCTTTCAGTACATATTTTGATGGACTCGTAAAAACATTTCAGAGATATTCTGGAGTGTGGAGGATTCTTTGGTTTTGGCTGATTGTACTGAATACGTATCGGTAGGCCTACTGTTCTAGATTTGATTAATGAATTAAACAATTTGTACGAGAAAGTACACTGACAATACAGTCGTTTACTGTTTGGATGCCAACAAATGAACCAAGTTCACCCCAATAATTTTGTTTATTTTGAATATATATAGAAGTCGAAATTAATAGAGTGATTCTGGGCTATATTAAAAGGTAATATAATGAATTAACAGTATTTGGTTAGTTTAAGATCGAGTTATCGCTCATCTTTCAATGCTATCATGAATACCGTCTTTCAACTTGTTGTGATTATCAAACCGATACTAACCTAATGTCTGTCTTATTTCAAAGCTCGTTTGAAACTGATTCTAAATGTATACAATTTTAAACAAAATGAAAGTTCAAGAGAGTCTGTCTTTTCCCATTGTGTCTTTGGAATTTTCATCTCCAATAACTAATGAAGTTCCGTGTACAGCATTGCATGGTGAGAGAACAGTGATAGAGGCAAAGTTTGGTCCCTTATCTTTTTCATAATTTTTGATAAAACACAATTTTGAATGACATATCTTGGTAATGCTGAAGTTCATTTCAAACGATTTCTTATTTTTTTTCTTGGGAATATGAATTATCACTTTGAAATACAAAGAAACTTCAATGTATTTGAACGAATTATGCTACATGTACTATTCTGATATTAGATATTGAATATTGGAAATGAACAGATATGAATTTACTTCGAACAGGATTACATGAAATATGTCTTCAAAACAGAGCGATGTTTAAATATCTTTTCTGTCATTTTTCAATTTCTACAATTTCTCTTTATATTTATCGTGTATAATTCTTACTTATCTGGAAAAATATCTTGTCTTATATCTGGATCTTGTATATTTTTATAGATCTGTCTTCTTGACACCGTGTGATAATAAAGTCATACATTTACTGACATTAGTGTTGATTTTACAAATTTGAGGAACAGCGTTTGAATTAGCTTTATATTCATCCAGTACCACAACAGTAAAATAGATATTCTAGTTTTCTTTTGCCGTTATATCATTAGCTCGATCACTTACTTTCAAATTTAATTATTATTTTAATTGTGCGCAGGATGACAGAAAATTTATTACAAATAGGCTTGTCAATATTTTCTTATAAGATTGTTAAAACAAACTGGTATATCTTGATATGCCAGTATTTCACCCAGAGCGACCTGGGGAAGTACAGATTCCGTACCACTTTTTAACAATCGTTCTGTGGCCATATTGACTGATGTGGGTATATCCACCAGTTTATCATTACATCTATTATTGCAGTGTGTCAACCTAATCATATTTGTTTAGAAGAACTAAAAATACTAACATTTAAGTTATTGTTTCCTAAAAAGCTCCAATATCGAAAACGGTTCGCACTTTCAGTATACATGTACTATTTATTGGCATCCCGGTTTAAAAAATCTAAATCATAACATAGAAATAAACGAACATATTATCAGCAAAAGGCGCATCTGATCTATATGTGTTTGATCTGAGCGGTATTTAAGGGTTTGGTTGTAACAAGAACATTTTAAAAACTGTAGCCTAAAAATAAGCTATTGTGTTAGGCTGATTAAAAGCGGGGTACCGCAATGAGAGAGTTATATACTATCAATAAATGACATCGACGATTATGAAAAATATCTGGCAAAAGCTTAATCTAGTAGTTAAATTCAAATATAAGACGGGGTACATCAAGGCGACATTTTATATCATTGATTATATAAGATGTGAATACACGAAATCGAATTGTTGTTACTCTCTATCTAGATGAAATGCTTACATGCAATTTTATGCATTTATCATGATTTGATGTTGCTCTAAGTTTTATAATCTCATATAATATAATTGGTTTCTTATTTCAACAATGTAATATCTACCGAAATTCAATACTATTGTTTGATCGTTGATACCAAAATGTATCTTTTAGCGCAAAAAATCAAATTTTTAAATAATATATTGATATCGAATTGCAAAATAAAGAGAAGTGCATAAATTACCGGAAGGGTCTGAACGCTAAATCGGTTAAAATTGAATCAATCATTGGAGCATTTTGTCTGCCGATAATACAAGTGATCGAGTTACAATGTAAATATATTAATATAAGTTTTAAATTCTAGCGGAAAGATAAGCTAGTTATCTGTTTATTTATCAAAGATTTTAATTTGAACGAGGAAGAGGATTTTCTGTATCATATATCTTATGTTTGTTTATTAAGCTTTTAATTATGATATCCGTTCCGTTAAATATCCCGCGAATTATTTACACATTATCTACATTACACATATTTACGAGTGTCCTGAACAATTGTTAGTATCGATAAGGCATTCTTCACATCTAGAGGCGTACGCGGATGTTTTTATTTTCGTTTCATATTGCACTTTAATGTTTTAAAAAGCTGTGAAGTGGTATTTACAGGCAAAATGAGATAATAGAAAGGTCGCTTTGTCAAATGTGTAGATAAATGATGAAGTACCGGTACGTCGCATCAGAATGAAAAATGACGAAAATTACAAAATGGTAATATCATATTTACAAATAACAAACTATATAGCAGACTCGGACTCGAGAATCAGATGTCAAACGACTGTTTAGAAAGCATTAAAACACCAGAACCCCCTCAATATAAGATATGTTTAGATATTAAAATATACAATATAAACACTTTTGGAGGGTCCACAAAGTTTGTATGTTAAAATGTTTAGTTTGTGTTTTATCATCTGTTAAATTATATTAAAATTTGTCATGAATTATTTCAAAATTTAATAGATCATTTTTCTTTATAGAACTTTCCGTAACTTCTTCTATCCTGATTATAGAATTTTTAAGACAATTATGCTTGGAATTGAAACATTGTTCGTATATTTTATCACTATGTTCAAGTGAAATGAGAATAAAATAATGGATCTAAAATTTAATAACGATAAATTAAAGTCCGATATTAGCCCGAATTTGTTAAGAGATTCTCAAGTTTGAATCTGACATATCAAAAGTCGCTCAGTCAAGACAATCTCTTAAGGCATATTGATACACGATTGAAAAAAACATGGAAGTTCTACACAATTTAAACTAAACAATCAACGATGGATCTCAATAGGGCCTATACAGAAATGACTTGTTGCTGACCAAGTGATAATGCCGCAGTTAAAGATGATAATCAATAAGTCATAGGGTAATATTGGCTACAGAATAAATAAATTGTAAGAAATATAAGTATATGAAGACAGTTTCCGAGTAGATCTATAATAATATTTATATATCATGAATTAACTGCAAGTGGCTGAAGTCTCTTCCCATTGAAAGGCTCTTCTCCTATTTTTCAATCAAAGTGGCTAACACTTACAATAATATATTAAAATCAACTTTCCCTCGTTTTTCAATCGAAGTGGATAATAAGTGTCATCTTAAGAAGCTCTTCACTCGTCTTGTATTGAAAACCAACTTTAGTCAATAACTTACCGTCTTTCGAACTGTCATCATCCTCACTTGGCGCGGGAGAAGATTCCATAACAGAGGTGCAGAGTGACGTATCAAAATCCTTGGAAACTGGCTGTGCATGGCCTCCCATTCCTGGAAGTGGTGGTGTGTAGGAAAGATTCGTATACGTCGGTTGCATGTTAGTCGGAGATCCTGCATTTCCATAAATACACGATGGATTATTGTTCATCTGCATGTTCATCTGATCACACGGCCGATGATGATTGATGTCAAAAGGAAAATTGGGGGTCATCTGGTAATTCATTGTCTGATAATCTAATCCACAAGAGTTCTGTGCTTCAGTCCAACTTAAGATGTCTTTTACAGAAAAGGGTGTTGAAAGCACTTGGTTAGAATACATAGTTCTTTCTCCTTCCAACCACTTAATATTTTGAAGAATTTTCCGTGAGTGAAACACTTTAAATCCTTCGAAAACTAAAGAGCGAGCAACTTAGCACTGTACAAAACATTCATCGCTTGTTCAAATTAAAATCAAAATATCCCTCAATTATCTACCCCCCATAGTTTACGTTTCAACCAATCAGATTCGAGTATCTGTCTAAGGTTCTCTGAGTGGTTCTTCAATTTGTTTATATACACAGTGTATACATATAGAACGTTCGTGTGTACTCCAGCTCATGAATATTCATTAGGTACATAACTTAATAGAATTACTTCTTGGTTGGCCTCTTCAGTTTGTCAGTAATAGAGATGTTTATACGTGTTTAGATCTTCTCTCTATTAAACATAATAGTCTTAATTCACGCCTTGGATATTATCTGATACCTTAGCTATTCTTATACTCGGCCATTTCTACACCCAGTAATTCTTATTCCAAGCAATTTCTACACCCATTAATTCTTACCCATAGCGATTTCTTCACCCAGTAATTCTTATATGTAGCGATTTCTACACCCATTAATTCTTATTCCTAGAGATTTCGACACCCATTAATTCTTACCCATAGCGATTTCTACACCCATTAATTCTTACCCATAGCGATTTCAACATCCAGTAATTCTTATACTTAATGATTTCTACACCCAGTAAATCTTATACCTAGAGATTTCTACACCCAGTAATTCTTACCCATAGCGATTTCAACACCCATTAATTCTTATACCTAGTGATTTCTACACCCATTAATTCTTATACCTTGTGATTTCTACACCCATTAATTCTTATACCTAGTGATTTGTCCACCTAGCAATTCTTATAGCTAGTGATTTCAACACCCAGTAATTCTTATACCTAGTGATTTCTACACCCAGTAATTCTTATACCTAGTGATTTCTACACCCATTAATTCTTACCCATAGCGATTTCAACACCCAGTAATTCTTATACTTAGTGATTTCTACACCCATTAATTCTTACCCATAGCGATTTCTACACCCAGCAATTCTTATACTTAGCGATTTCAACACCCAGTAATTCTTATACTTAGTGATTTCAACACCCAGTAATTCTTATACTTAGTGATTTCTACACGCATTAATTCTTATACCTAGAGATTTCTACACGCATTAATTCTTATACCTAGAGATTTCTACACCCAGCAATTCTTATACCTAGAGATTTCTACACCCATTAATTCTTATACCTAGAGATTTCTACACCCAGCAATTCTTATACCTAGTGATTTCTACACCCAGCAATTCTTATACCTAGTGATTTCTACACCCAGTAATTCTTATACTTAGTGATTTCAACACCCAGTAATTCTTATACTTAGTGATTTCTACACGCATTAATTCTTATACCTAGAGATTTCTACACGTATTAATTCTTATACCTAGAGATTTCTACACCCAACAATTCTTATACCTAGAGATTTCTACACCCATTAATTCTTATACCTAGAGATTTCTACACCCAGCAATTCTTATACCTAGTGATTTCTACACCCAGCAATTCTTATACCTAGTGATTTCTACACCCAGCAATTCTTATACCTAGTGATTTCTACACCCAGCAATTCTTATACCTAGTGATTTCTACACCCAGCAATTCTTTTACCTAGTGATTTCAACACCCAGTAATTCTTATACCTAGTGATTTCTACACCCAGTAAATCTTTTACCTAGAGATTTCAACACCCAGTAATTCTTATTCCTAGTGATTTCAACACCCAGTAATTCTTATACCTAGAGATTTCTACACCCATTAATTCTTTCCCATAGCGATTTCTTCACCCATTAATTCTTATACTTAGTGATTTCTACACCCAGTAAATCTTATTCCTAGATATTTCTACACCCATTAATTCTTACCCATAGCGATTTCTATACCCATTAATCCTTACCCATAGCGATTTCTATACTCAGTAATCCTTACCCATAGCGATTTCTATACCCAATAATCCTTACCCATAGCGATTTCTACACCCAGTAATCCTTACCCATAGCGATTTTTACACCCAGTAATCCTTACCCATAGCGATTTCTATACCCAGTAATCCTTACCCATAGCGATTTCTATACCCAGTAATCCTTACCCATAGCGATTTTTACACCCAGTTATCCTTACCCATAGCGATTTCTATACCCAGTAATCCTTCCCCATAGCGATTTCTACACCCAGTAATCCTTACCCATAGCGATTTTTACCCCCAGTAATCCTTACCCATAGCGATTTCTATACCCAGTAATCCTTACCCATAGCGATTTCTATACCCAGTAATCCTTACCCATAGCGATTTCTATACCCAGTAATCCTTACCCATAGCGATTTCTACACCCAGTAATTCTTACCCATAGCGATTTTTACACCCAGTAATCCTTACCCTGATTTCTATACCCAGTAATCCTTACCCATAGCGATTTCTATACCCAGTAATCCTTACCCATAGCGATTTTTACACCCAGTAATCCTTACCCATAGCGATTTCTATACCCAGTAATCCTTACCCATAGCGATTTCTATACCCAGTAATCCTTACCCATAGCGATTTCTACACCCAGTAATCCTTACCCATAGCGATTTTTACACCCAGTAATCCTA